CAAGACCGAGGTCTGCATTACCCACAGCTCCTCATTATATCCTCAATACAAGATGTATTTCTCTGCACTGCAAAAGTCATTTTGCTTTTTTCTCAGTAAAAATATCCATTATGCTTTAATATAGATAAAACAGTTTGCCAGTGGGATCGGAAAAATAAACTAATTGTAAAATATTAATATTAACAATTGTTAATTGGTATACATATGCACACTACCAAGATTTGGGGTCCTTTAAAAAAAAAAAAAAAAAAAAAAAGCTTTTATTCAGCAAGGACACATCAAATGTATAAAAAGTGACAGTAAATACATACATAATGTTACAAAAGATTTCTATTTGAAATAAACAAGAATAAATATTCTTTTGAGATTTTTTTCTTTCTGTTTTGTTTTTTGAGCACCAAATCAGCATACTAGAATGATTTATGAATGATCATGTGACAACAATATATATTTTAAAAATGAGGTAAAACATAAAACTGTTACTATTACAGTCAGTCAAGTGTGATGGCATATTCACGAAGACTGATCCCTGACATATGTCAGAATTGAGTAATTTTATCTGGTAAATGCCAGCTTTATTTATACTGCAGTGTAAGCCATGTGAATCAACATTTCATGCATGCCACTTTCCAAGGCTACATTAATTGAAAGATATATTATACTCTCCTGTATTCGAGCCTAATGCAACCAGTGACATTCACCGCTGAATTATGTCAACCGTTTAATTAGCATTTGAAACAACTCCTTGACCTTCTCTAGATTGAAAGCGAGAATTTATTGACTTTGGTCAGTCTAATTATGGATAAATATAAACTCAGTTCCAAATTATTATACCATTCCTTCCTGCTCCCTGAACGGGGCATCTGTGGAAATACAAGGCCAAGGTTTTCCGTGCTCCAGCATTGTTAAAGCTGTTTGAGTTGGCCTAACATCCATTTAGTCAGTGTATTTTTGCTTTCAGATGAGGTGAAGTCAATTCAATCTCGTTATTCCTTAAAAGCAGTGAAGGTAAATGGCGTGTTAGATCCCCTGATGCTGAGTGCTGCAGGAATACAATCTCAAACTACTCAGCTAAAACGTTCAATATGGGGGCTTGAGGAAAGAATAACACTGTTTCGTCTATGTGTGCGTTTCAGGATCGGATACGTTCGTGGAGGTGGGCATGCCTCGAAGCCCCTCTCACTCGGGAAACAGCAATGAACTGAAGCAGATGTTGGCGTCTTGTAAGACAACGTCAGGAAAGAGGCAAGCCCTGGAGCTGCTACAGGGCACCAAGAACTCCCTCCTACAGTATGATCACATGCACAATCACTCAACAGTCAATCACTAGTCAATGTTAGAGTTAGCCACTAATGCAGCTTGTGATTAAACGTATTTGTTCTTTTATCCATGTAGTTCAGACTGTCTGTTGTCAGACTCTGACTCCAGCGCCTCGGAGAGTCCGGTGGCTGATAAACGCGCTCCAGGCAGTGAAAGAGCAGCCGAACGGGCCGCTCTGCAGAATTCAGACAGAATCCGCCTGCCGCCCCAATCCTCCTTCTCCAGCATGCAGGTAATGAGCCCTTAATGTTACTTAAAAACTCTTTAGAAGAGTGAAAGTGCTGCCCTTAGTTACAAAAATGATTATCAAATAAATCGAGCAGCTGTGAATATTACATTTAGCTTTTGCCATTTCAATCTAACTTCCCTCATGCAAATGATGCACTACTGGTCAAAAGTTTGAAAGAATTAAGTTCTCTTAATGTATTTAAAAAAAAAATGTCTCTTATGCTCAGCAAGGCTGCATTTATTTGATCAAAAACAGTAATATTGTGAAAAATTACATTTTAATAGAACTTCAATATAACTTAAAATGTAATTTATTCCTGTGATGCAAAGCATCACATTTCAAAAATATTTTAGTTTTTACTGTAATAAATGCAGCCTTGTTAAAGATAAGAAACTTATTTTATAAGACACTATTCTGTTCGCCACAGTCTGTTAAATGGTTTTGACAGAATGAGGCAATGTTTACCATTTGCCTTTCTCGTTCTATAAACCAAGCTGACAGGAGAAATGAGGGACATAATTCTTAAATCCTTTCCAACAGCCTAAACATTCTTTACTTTCTCTCTGTTCACCTCTACAGGCGTTCGACTATGAGCAAAAGAAGTTATTGGCAACCAAAGGTATGTGCTTGACAAATCAAATCACAGTTAAAGCTATATACAGAGCCTTAAAGAGTGTCTCCCAGCCATCTATATTGTTAAAAACAATTCTGCTGGTAGGCTGCTGGGGGAATTGGAAACCGGTTGTGTTTAGTCTAGTGTGCCAGCAATGAACAAAGCAGGACTACAGTGTCTTCACAGGCTGAATGTCTGGCAGTGAGTAGGGTGTCATTAAAGCCCTGTTTCACATTTACGGTAAATATACTCTGCCTCATAAAGCTTCTCCACACCTCACGTCCTGTGTCCAGCGTTCTTTCTGTAAACTATGGACCTGAGAATGAGGTTTTTGACCGATTTAGCACAGTGCAGGGGAATTTGGCATCAAATTCTTGATCAACTAATTATAATTCCTGATTCCTACATCTCTCAAAAAACACCAGTAACATTCATTTTATTGAATACCACCCAGGTCATGTTTTGCCACACACTGGCAGAAAAGAATTGTTTATTTTGTGAGTATACTAAGCTGTTTTAGAACTATTTACATATTTTGTGTTGTGATATTATATTCATGACAATTACTTCACAAGTCCTCCAACAAAATTCTCCTTATTGTAAAAATCATGGTCAGTACTGTAATGTGAAAAAAGATATATTATTAAAATTAATAATTAAATAACATATAAATATATTTTAAAAATAAAAATTAATATAATAAATAGTTATGCAGATTTTTGGTAAAGTACTTAATTTTACACCATGATAATATCTTTTATTATATATATATATATATATATATATATATAACAATTAAAATAACAAAAAACTAGAGAAAGAAAAGAAACAAAATAGAAAAACAATAACAACGAAATTCAACCAAAAATTATAAATAATTCTCTAAAATACAGTTAAACAACAAATTATACAAAATGACAATAAAAAATAAAGAAATAAGTGATAAAAAAATTAATATAAAAGCAGCTTATCGAGATAAATAAACAACATTAAAGGGTTAGTTCACCCAAAAATGCCAATTCTGTCATTAATTACTCACCCTCGTGTTGTTCGAAACCCGTAAGACCTTCGTCATGATACTGTCGTGAACACGCATCCACAAGTGACGCAGCAGAGACGAAAATGTGGAATAAAGTCGTTATTTTTGTTTTCTTTGTGCAAAAAAGTATTCTCGTAGCTTCGTAACTTTACAGTTGAACCACTGATGTCACACGGACTACTTTGTCGGTCATCTTGGTACTTTTCTGGACCTTGAACATGGTAGTTACCTTGCTGTCTATGGGAGGGTCAGAGAGCCTTCAGATTTCATCAAAAATATCTTAAATTGTGTTCCGAAGATGAACGAAGGTCTTACGGGTTTGGAACAACACGAGGGTGAGTAATTAATGACAGAATTTTCATTTTTGGGTGAACTAACCCTTTAATATTCACATTGTTGGTTATGAAGAAGCCTTTTCTTAAAATGATGCTTAAATGAGTTAAATGATGTACATTCTCTAATTGATTGTGGTATTGAATTCCACTGATGTGATGCTCTGAATGAAAAAACAGCTTGACCAAACAAGGTTTTTCTATGTGGAATTATGCAATCAGCTAATAAAATATAATGTCATGTAATTTTTTTTCTTTTTTCTATTTAGTTTTTTTTTTTATTAAATACATCATCTTCTTCTGTTTCTATGTTCAGCCATGTTAAAGAAGCCAGTGGTGACGGAGGTCCGAACCCCTACTAACACGTGGAGCGGTCTGGGCTTCTCAAAGTCTATGCCTGCAGAAACTATTAAGGAGTTGCGCCGGGCAAACCATGTGTCTTATAAACCTACCATGTCAACTACATATGAGGTAAAAGCAGACCAAGCAAAAGGGCTAAGCACCTTTCTCCTATGAATTGCTGTACACTGATAGTAGTTCATTTGGTGCATTCAGTGTGTACAGTACCATATATTGCTGTGTTCTCACTGATGACGATTAGCTCTATTATTATTTTGTATTGATGCATCACTGCGGGTTTTTAGTGGAATAAACTTGATATGATTTGTGTTTTATAAGGGGTCGCCTCTAGCCCTGTCCCGCTCCAACAGTAGAGAGGGGGTGGCGAGTGGCAGTGACTCGGATAACTGGAGGGAAAGGAATGGGAGCGGGCTCCCAGTACACAGCGACTTCCCCTCTCCCATCAGCCCCAAAAGGAAGCAGAACAAAACAGGTGTGCTCTTCAGTCGGAATGACTGAGCTTAGTGATTGTTTTTTTTTGTGACATGAATTCAAAGACGTGTTTTAATTACTTATGCTTAAATATCTCAATTATAAAATATCAGTATAATAGGATATTAAAGGTAATTTAAAAGATCATTTAACTTCACAAGTGAAAGAATTGAGACGATACAAGGCAACTCTGTTAACAAGCACTAATATTGCTCCTCAAGCAAACTACACAAGGAAATCAACTAACTAACAACTAACTAGCTAACACATCCTAGTTCAATATATTTTGATGTTCGAATGTTGCTAACCTAAGTTAACATCCAGTCTTTTTAGCACTGTAAATCACTGTTAGTGCCTTTTTGAAAAAAGTAAATTTTAACATGCTCTTACAAAAGAGTACTTACTACAAAAATATTATACTTTAAAAGATTATGCAAACTGAATGTAATGATTTTGGAGACTTAGCTGCGTTTAATTTGCAATTACAATAAATGAAAATGTATTAAAGTTTACATTTATATTAAATGCAGTTAGTTGAGAGTGTTTTTGACTTAACTAGGACTTAACTAGTACATCATTATATGTAATTACTTATATTGACTTTGAAATATGGTTAAAGTGTACTTAGAAAGCTACTGACAAGCATTTCATTTATGGTAAACTGAAATTTTATCTTAATGTTCTCTTGAATCCTGGATAAATTTGAAAATATTTCTACTTTAAATGTATTATAACACACTACAGTTAAAAACTTAAAGTACAATTAAATTACAGTAAAAATCAAGTTTTTTCATATGCTTTTTATGTTACACATAAAAAAATGTGCTTTTTTAAAGCATCACAAAAAATGACGACAAACTGTGATTTTAGAATGTACCTAGGAAGTAAACGTTTAATTTGACATTATTATAAAATTGCACTTTTTAAACGTTTAAGTGTGTTCTGCTCTCTTTTAGTACTTTAGGGTTTTTGTTTCATCCATATTATATTATCAGCAAGTGCAGTTTTTGAAATATATCTTTTTTAAATTTGATGTATATTACAAGTGCTCCTTCAAAACAATAAAATAGACTTGTTTTTCATAAGGCTATGAATGCAGTTAGGCCAAAACAAGGTATCTGCAAAGCCTTAAAGTGCTGATTGATAACCAGGTAGGCACTTAACCATGATTTTATGTATTTTGGATTAGAGCACTACCTAAGCAGCAGCAACTACATGGACTGCATCTCGTCGGTGATGGGAACTAACGGCTGTAATCTCAACACATCTTTCAAAGGATCAGATCTGCCTGAGCTCTTCAGTAAACTTGGCCTCGGGAAATATACCGACGTCTTCCAACAGCAGGAGGTACAGACAGAGCTGCTGATATCTTCTCTATCAATGTTGTTGTTTGAGATGAGAACATTTAAATGAGCTTTAGATGATTTCTGCCACCGGGAGGTTGTTTTTATGTCTTATGGCTATTAGCGCTTAGCCTGTTTTAGCTGCACAAAGCGCACGGAACTCAGCAGAAATCATGTTGGAAATGCACTTTAAATCAGTCTTTGGCTAAATAGGCGTTTATGAAGCAACATGAAATACTGGAGCGAACAGCTGACTCGTTTTTTGAATGGCTTGACAAGTTGTCAGGCTTGAAAAGTTCCACACAACAATTTGGATGTAAATTTTCCATTTCTCATATATATATTGGATTTCATGACAGTCAGGTCTGTAATAATTCTGAATGACCAACTCCAATTTAATGGCTTTTAATAAAAGAAATTCTCAATGTAGTAACATAGAGATGACTTCATTTTCTGTGGAGCCACAGCTCTGTTACGCAGCAGAAACACTGTCAGTGTGACAGCTCTATCTGGCTTGCATGTATGCTGTCAAACTGGCCCGGGGTTACAATGACGCAACTTCCAGCACAGAACTGAAACCCTCAGAATAGCCCAAAAGATCTGTAATTCACACATTATGCCAAGTCCTGTATTTCAAGATGCCAGAGATAACATTGAGGAGTCCAAAATTTGGTTCTGGCTTTTATCTTATATCATCGGAAAGTTAGAGAGAGCGCTGTGGTGCAGTGGTCAGTGCACATGCACTTAGTCGCAGGTTTGATTCTGCACTGTTATACCATTCTCCCTCTTTCTCCCCACAGTAATTTTTCTCTAAAAGTCCAAACTAAAAACTACAGTTTGTGTCTGTTTCTCAGATTGACCTTCAGACGTTCCTCACGCTGACCGATCAGGACCTGAAAGAGCTCGGCATCACTACATTTGGAGCCCGCAGGAAAATGCTGCTGGCCATTTCAGGTCAGTTCCCTTCCAAACAAACAACTGGGACTGGCACAGTAGCATTACCAGCAACATTTCACAATTCTTTATACCTTTCTCGATTCCACAGCAATCAATCAATCAATCAGTAAGTGCAGTCAATCGATTAACTCCTAACATTACAATTTGTAATCCTAATTATAGGTTCACATTGAATCTCCAAAAGTAATGCAGAAACAACATGAAGACTGTATAATTTAAATATCCATCTATTGCTGTCTTTTACCATGAATTATAAATAGTCCAGCATCGCCAATACCAAAACTGTTACTGATGCCTCTAAATAGATTTTACTCAATTTCTGGGAATAAATAGAGAGACAATATAGCCATTCAAAATTATAGTAAGATTTGTGCCATCATTTTAAACATTTAATAGACCTAAACTGTTACAGAATATTAAAAACGTTTAATTTAAGTGAACTTAAAACAATGTTCACATAAACCCATTATAATAAATGTCACATTTGTCAGTGCCTTTAATATAGTTTGTTGTATATATTAATATAGTGATGCTTCTGTTGATATCATCTATGTTTTTCCCACTAAGTTTATTTTGTGCATTCATTTTCATAAATAGGAAAATTTATAAGTAAAACAATTTGTATCAATATTTTTATTTTTTAGTATTTACACTTATTTCTGCAATTTCACCTGCAGGTCTTCATCACTGCGACAAGCATGTTACTGACGTTATCAAAAACAGGCAACCAGACAGCCAAATTTATTAATTATTCATTAGTATGTACTCAAGTTAACAAATAACAATAAAGCTTGCATGTATTTTCAGGTATTTCTCAATTATTTATTTTTTCAAATAAAATCAGTAATTAAAGAAGTAAATCAAAATGTATTCCCTTTTTATTGAAATGGTTTTTTGATTAATATTAATGGCAATAATAGACAGGTGGCAGGTCTGTTAGGTTGATTGTAATACACAGATCTGATATTTTTGTTGTATATTCACCGAAGACATACTGTTTGCAGTAATACCAAGAAGTTTGCTTGACTGTTCATGTACACAGCTGCATTACCGTGACGTGAGCACTTTCTAAGAGAACCCACTCAAATACATATGTGATTATTGGAAAACAGCCACTCGTTATTCAGACAGCCCTCAGGTACCAAATTGAGTCAATATTTAATGCAGAAAGACTGGTCTTGTTACATTTTTTAAGAAAGTTTAGTATCAACTTGATACCAACCAACACAAAAATAACCGTGATAGCAGATGGACACAACATGCCATGCAAGATTTTCCTTTTTAATAGCTTTGAGTAATTTGGACAGCTGCAGGTTTTTGGGATTACGATTATGATTTATTGAGGTGTCAGAGATGAAATTGGATTTGGCTTTCCACTTATGCAACCGGCAAGGGTTGACTGACTGTCCACATCCCAGCATGACAGCAAGTGGAAGTGACAAGCTTGGCCATTAGACATCTCAAACATCTGTGATATATTTTGACCACCCACTGCTCGATAACCATAATGACTTCCTGCAGTCTGGCAAGGATATTTACTAAAACAAAAACATTGTTCCTGTTTTATCAGCCCCGTGGTTGGAGAATAAAACACAATGCCTGAGGTTGAGGTAGCCCTTTCACGGTTAAAAATGAAATTGTGGTGCAGATGGGATACTAAAGTGTAGAGGTACTAGGAAGACAGGAAATGACTGCAGGCCTGTGTTTCTTTCTCTGACTGACCTCGGACACAATTTACTGTAATCTGGGCTGATGCAAGTTTGGTCCCAGTGAGAGAAATGTCCTGCCTTTTGTCCTCTACAGCAGGAAAATGGAACATTGGCACTGTCAAGCCAACTTACATAAATGAGATCTGTCATCTAAAAATCATAATGCAAAGACTGAGCTATCAAAAAACTAGTGAGCTGTCAACACTGGCAGCGTTTTAAGGTTGTATACCTTATTTTGACCAATTTTTAAGGCACACTGCAGGAGAATGCCACAAGCTAAATAAAAAAAAATTATCAAAACGAGAAAAATGTTGATTAGAAATATATTATTCATTCTTTGCTGAAAAGTATTAATAAAAATAAGATATTTGTTTTAAAATGTGCTGTTTTACCCAATATTTGTATGTATACCTGTATGTATAATTACTAATGTATTTCATGTTGTAGAACATGAAAATATCTTGAGCTTCAAAATATCCACTGATTTCGGGAAGATGGAACTGCTAACTTGATGGAAATGCTATCCAAATCAATGTTAATAATTTGGTAGAAGTGGTTGATTCATCCATGCATTTGTTTTATATTTTAAAAAATGTTTTGACCTTGTTATTTGCAATATGGAGAAAAGGTCTGTCACTACTTCCATTTTACTGTGATATTGACATGCATGTATGCAGTGTAAACTATGAATATTTAAGTCCTCTTTTTGTTTTGACAGAGCTGAACAAGAACCGAAGGAAGCTCTTTGAGCCGCCCAACATCCGCTCCTCGTTCCTGGAAGGGGGCGCCAGCGGTCGACTGCCACGCCAGTTCCACACAGACATTGCCAGTGTGAGCGGGCGCTGGTGAGCCCATGCCAATGCACCAACGGACAGCCTGAAACTGCACAAATTCCCATTCCCAACTCCAACCTGATATACAGTACTGGACCAAAACCCGGACCTTCTGAAACTGTGCCAAATAAACAAAGTCTATGGAACAGAGGTTAAGGGTCAAATAACTGTTGAATATTATATGCAGTATGGTACATTATGCAATATGGTACTCATGTTACAATGAAGGAAATGCAGTGAATGATCATTGGAGCTCCTGCACTGTGCTTGTATATGGAGCAGGCAGATTTTATTTATATGCTTGTCTTAGGCTTCAACATACTAATTCTTTGCACTTTAAAAAATGCTAAATATTTTGTCCATGGACAGATTCGCCTGACTAGATGCGCCTGGATTTTATTTAAAGCACTTAAATGGATATCAAGCCAAAGTGTTCTGCACAAATTATCCATAAGGGAAGCTTATCTCATCCCACGACTGCATTACAGTGAAATCACCAGCCTGTTGTCATTACTTATGGATCTTAGTCAGAGTAGACAGCATATTGCATTTGACAGAAATTAAATGGAGTGTACGTCTATCCCTCACAGGCTTGTTTTCATTCAGGTCAAATTAAAATAGTCTACCCTGACTGAATTCCACAGTACATTGTCTATATAGTATTTCTAAACCTATAAATAGTTTACTTTTAAAGGGAAAATGAAAAATCTACATTATTTTAGTATATGACTTTAGTTCTTCTATGGAACTCAAAAGAAGATACTTCGAAGAATGTTTCAGCTGTTTTTGTCCATACAGTGAAAGTTAATTGAGTGCACTAGTTGGTTCTAGAACTATTTTTGCCATTCATTTTTTTCCCAAAGGGATTATGTAAAAAAAAAAAGAAAAACTTATTTTAAAGTGTTAAAAGCAAGGAACCAAGTCATTTTTTGTACAGATTCATGGGTAATGTAATATTTCACCACAAATTCTGCTGTTATAAACAATTATTTTAAAAATGAGTTGAAAATACAGCTACAAGCAGCATTTACTGGGGTTCAATCGCTTTAAGGAATTTGAGCACATATGAAAAAAGATATATGTATTATTATTTAGCATCCATCCAAATAAATTATTTAAAAGAGCATTTTCTGGTAATTCCAGGTAATTTACCATAGAAATATGACATTTTTTAACATTTATGGGTGTTATAGCAACACCTATAGTCCAATATCAATAAAAGTTGGCATGCCTCTTTAGTATTATATGCTGCATGGGCTCACCTAATTTCGTAAAGTTCCGAGTTTTCGTTCAGGAATTATAGGCTTTTAGGTATATTTGGCCACACCCATATTGTAATGACCCTGTTATAGTTAACCAAAGTGTAAATTTCAGATTGTTTTTGATAATTATTGACCTAGAGAGTCCAGAGAATTGTACTGCAGTGGTTTTGTTGAGATTGAGCAAAAAACCTATAGGACTAGTTCGCAAAAGTAGTTTTCTTTTAAATAATCTTGAATAATTAATGAACGATTTTTTTGACAATAGTAGTTCTTGAGGAAAAGTTGTTCAGAATGAGGAGATCTAACATATGATATGAATATTGTGTGTGTGGGTAAAACGCTGCATGATTTCTGCAGATTCGGCCTCTGTTAACCCCCATCTAATATGTGATCGCAATTCATTGGCGAATTACGGCCATGATTTTCAAGATAAATGAACGTGCTCATAGACAGCGGTGGCACTTTGGACACAGACACTGTGTGTGAATTTTCAAGTCAATCAGACTAACGGGTGCATAGTTATAGCCATTTTTATGTTTTAGTCCTATTATAGCGCCACACAGTGGTCAGACTCTTTTTCTCATGTAACCTCAGATTGAGGTCTTACATATGCATATCGAGTTTTGTCTAAATATCTTATTCCATTGAAAAGTTATAGCTGTTTTAGGAAAAGTGCCCCTCTTTCGAACGTTTTGGCATCCCTTTGCGACGGTGAGTCGAAAACTCAAAATTTTTTGATCATTTTTGATATTCACTCTCCAGATAATATATATATATTTTTTTTAAGTTTATTTCCGATCAGGTGAAAAACTTAGGACTAGTTCGCCAAAGTAGGTTTTTCAAAAAATACAAAAGATTCTGTGGTGATTGAATCCGTATAATATAAGTCATTTGAGTCTTCGACAAGTACTTTAGGAGTTATTAGCGATTTCGTACTTTTGATTGCTGTAGCGCCCCCCTCAGGCCGATCGGGGCAAGCCTTGATGACGTTGTAGACATGGTGAGTACTACCATCCCTCAAAGTTTCAGGTCTCTACGCCTTATGGTTTGGTCTGCCCGATCACTTTTAGGTCAGAATGGTGATCTTTGAAAATCTTAACAATTACGATAGGGTTTCAGCGCTACACGCTTGAACCGCTCGCTAATAATGTGAACAGATGGCTTTAACAAAACATTTATCTCAGAGCTCACAACAGTCTTTAAAGGTTTATAAGCTACCATTAAAAATCAGTTTTTAATTCTAACCCAACTCTTGCACTCTTTATGGTCCAAAACAACATTAGACCCCACTGACTTTCAATGTATGGACAAAATATTGTTTTTCACAGAAGAAGGAAAGTCATGCAGAATTTTTGGATAACCTATCCGTTGAACTGTTAATTTTAGAGCTTAATGTCAGCCTGTCAGTAGTAGCTTTCTCAATAGCGCCTCAGAAGTGCAAATTACACCAGCTCTCTTTCAACCACCTTCCTGAATGCTACAGACCACAAATCTTCACAGGCCTCACTCCCCAAACCGAGCTTTTTGTAAAGCATTTGAATTCCTCTCAGACCAGATCACGGCTTAATCCATGGCTTTTCTCCTGCACGCGACCAAAGTTTGTGCTGCTTTCTTGAGCTCTAGTCTTCCTACGCCATCTAACGCGCTTTGTTTGCTTCTCTCTTCTCCATCTTCTCTCACCATTCTTATGTGATCCCAACACGCTCGTCGTATTCTTCAGATATTCCCAAAGCGAGTTTTTCAATTCTGACTATATCTAAAGCTGTGAATGTTGCCAGATGTACTCCGAAGGACTGAAACCACCAAGTGCCTTTTGTCTTGCACTGACAACTTTTCCAAAGTAATCAAAGACTATCGATCTCTCAAAGGTACAAATGTTTTACTAGGAAGTACCACTTACAAGTAATCTTGCAGTGCATTGCTTTATCTTTACATGTACGGTATATATTTAGTATTTTCATTTAGCTCTTGAGTACGTTGAAATTGTACCTCACGTGATAGAGGTACTATTTAAGTTTGTATTGTGTGTATTGTCTTATTATGAGTGTTTATAGACTTTTTAGCAGTTTGCTTTGATAATTTAGAGACAGTAGCAATCAATCAATCAGTTTGTGTTATGGTTTGTAATGTTTGTTTTTTAATCAGATTGAGATGACAAATGAGTGAAACAATAGCTCTTGGTGTTGCCTAAAAATATTAATAGTAATAATAAAATGCAACAGACTATGCAAAGAATCACTTTGCCATTTTAGGTTTAAATGTTTCAGTTTAAGCACATACTGTACGCTTTTATTGGTTGTCTCGTTTTCAGTAAATTGCTTGATACTGTATATCTTAGATTAGTGCCTTTTATATACATCAAATGCCACTTTAGTGAGAGACCAAGTGTAATTTGTGTGTAGAATTGTTTTGTTCTCTCTCTAAGAGGGAAAAAAAGGGACAAATGACGTCTTAATATTCTGACATGGCCAGCACATTTTTAAGTATTTTTGGCCAAAGTCAAATGTGTAACCTCTGGGTTATGAGGTTACATACATCATGTGCACAAATATACAGAGCAGTGATGTAAAAACGGGATATTAAAGCACATTAACCAGTATTGTTCTTCCAAACGTACATTAGCTGGCCAGTGCCTTGGAAATGACTTTTAAAATCTGTGAGCTTGGCACAGATTTTGTAATATACTCCATTTCTAATGTTCTCTGATGATACATTTGTAAAATTGCCATAAATGTGGTATCGCTGAATGTTCCTTACAAGGTGTTATGAAAGAATAAAGCATATGCACACCTTTTCCATCTTATGTATTCCGCTACTGCTTTGTTTGTACAATGCCATTTAAAGGGATAATTCACCAAAAAATGACAATTCTGTCATCATTTACTCACCGCCAAATTGTTCCAAACCTGTATGAGTTTATTCCTTCTGTTGAGCACAAAAGAAGATATGTCGGTAACCAAACAGTCGCTGGTAGCCACTGACTGAAAAAAAATACTATGGAAGTCAATGGCTACCGTCAACTGTTTGGTTACCAAGCATTCCTCAAAATATCTTCTTTTGTGCTCGACAGAAGAAAGAGACTCAAACAGGTTTGGAAAGACATGAGGGTGAGTGACAAAATGTTCATTTTTTTGGGCCTGACATCTGGTTGGCTTTGTGTATTTAAAAATGCGTACTTGTTACATAATGACTCATTTCCCTCATTAGTGACAATAGCATCTGTAAATGTCTGACTAAACTAGATGTAGTGGCAGTAGAGGGGAAAGACTAGTGTAAAATGTGCTTTAAGATGAACCGCACCCAGTAATAGCTTATGAGGCTCTGACTGATTACAATATGTCACAAATACGTTAGTGATCTCCGTGAAATCCTTTGCTTAAACACACACATGGACTTTTGGGAAATGGATGTTCTTTTTATCTGTTTTTATGTCACAAGCAGATATGAATCTGTAAGGAACAGAACAAAGAAGTGCAGTCTGAAAACTGGGTGTAACTGTTTTGATATTTTACTAGATTGTGTTTTTTCTGGATTATCTCTGAGCATACTGTAAATCAGGCCTGGAAATGGAACAGGACAGCTTGTGGCTGGAACAAGAGGAAAACATTTTCATTTTCCTCTGGCAAGCTCGCATTCCAGCTTTTGAATCTCGCCACACTGTCTGGATTGTGGATACAATGTGAAGAGAGTGTCCAAGGGTTATTGGGAGGATGAAATGTGTTTATTTCACCACAAAAAACGAAATCCCATGAGAATGAACTCATCCAGACATCTTTTCATAAACTGATATAAACATGAAAGAAAGGAAGTTATTTATTAATTTAGATAGAATGTGTGTACTCGCTTAAACTGGACCAAAACAGCTTATTTTTTTTCTATTTCTGGTGAACAGACTACGTTGTGTCACAATGTATATTCTTTTGAGAAGCTAAGGAGATTTTTGAACTCATCTATAAATTGGATGTCTTTTTTGTCTGATCAGATTATCAATCCCAATATCAGATACCATTGCAGACTCTCTCAGATTTTGTCTTTGTAATAATATTTAGCAAAAATCAGATACCGTTCCCATTTTCTGAAGTGAGAATTTATGTGAATAATATAATGTAATTATTTAGATAGTTATATAAACATTAAAGTTTATTACGGCCAACATATCATATTGGTAATTAATATCAATTTGTGTGTAATAGCTACCGACATCAGTTTATTATATAACAGTAAGAAATGTCAAAAGAGTGTATGGAGGTGTTTTCAATAATATTTAATACAATTTTTGATCAGATCATTTTATGACTGACTGACTGACAAAAAAAACATCTTCTAGTGGAAGTGAATGTAAAAGCTACCAAACCTGAATTCCACAGTTATTAATCTATTATTAATATGCTCATTAATTCACATTATGTTTATTACATATGCTCATTATAAATAGGAGTAAGAAGAGTTACATCTCACAATAAGATTTTTGGTCTTGGATCAGTTTTTGGCTTTCACATAATTAAGAATAAATGATTACACTTTATTTTAAGGTGTCCTTGTTACAGTGTAATTATACATTTAAGTAATATTAATGAACTACATGTACTTACTATATGGTTAGGGTTAGGATTAGGGTTTCTTGCATGTAATTATGCATAATTAATTGTTATTATAATAGTAAGTACATGCAACATGTGTAACAAGGACACCTTAAAATAACGTTACCGAATAAATTAATTTGTCGTTTTTACAGCATCAAATATAAATGTCATAAATACTCTATATTTCTGTAAGACGTTAATGAGCTTTGTGTTTATGCCTTTATTAATATAAATGCATTACTGTAGTTTGTTCTCCAACAGGGGGCGCTAAGGCATGCATTTGATCAAATTTGACTTTAAAATACTGGTCCACCAATATTTAGCTTTATTAATTATCTGCATCTGTCAATAAGTTTTCCTTTTTGGTCAGTTAGTGTCAGATTTATATTTAATTTCTGTCACATGGAAGCACTGATTAAAAACAGTAGCCCACATTTGTACATGAGAATAATAGATTACCTCAGAGCAGCAATATTTTCATTATCTATTATATATGAATGAGATATACCTGGATCCAGGTTTTGCCTCTGTTTTGCATTCTGTATGTGCTCATGCACCTTATTTACATTCAGAAGCCCTACTGCATCCCTTACCAGCATAACAATCATTTGTATATTAGATTTAAACATCAGTAGAGAACTGGACTGAAACATTTCACCTCGTCTGACACTGACCTTCATGCGTTGACAGGAAGACAGGTCATATGAGGTGATCTGATCTATTTATGGGATGTACAATCACTGTGAAATACGGCCCGTTATGTAACGGACCCCAAACCACTGTCTCTTAGACACACGAAAACCTGGACAAACCAGAAAGGACTTTACATGTCAGTAGAATAATTAGGCACAAGCTATAATCAATTGTGTGTTCCTCTAGTCATTACAGACCTTGGCATTACAAACAAATCATTTAAAGCTTTGTGAAGGTAATTTTCTATGAAGGAAATTGAAAATCTACCATCAAATATACAGTATGTCGTTCAAGTGGATTCAATTATATAGAGCTTGCATGTAATTATGCATAATTAATTGTTATTATAATAGTAAGTACATGCAACATGTGTAACAAGGACACCTTAAAATAACGTTACCGAATAAATTAATTTGTCGTTTTTACAGCATCAAATATAAATGTCATAAATACTCTATATTTCTGTAAGACGTTAATGAGCTTTGTGTTTATGCCTTTATTAATATAAATGCATTACTGTAGTTTGTTCTCCAACAGGGGGCGCTAAGGCATGCATTTGATCAAATTTGACTTTAAAATACTGGTCCACCAATATTTAGCTTTATTAATTATCTGCATCTGTCAATAAGTTTTCCTTTTTGGTCAGTTAGTGTCAGATTTATATTTAATTTCTGTCACATGGAAGCACTGATTAAAAACAGTAGCCCACATTTGTACATGAGAATAATAGATTACCTCAGAGCAGCAATATTTTCATTATCTATTATATATGAATGAGATATACCTGGATCCAGGTTTTGCCTCTGTTTTGCATTCTGTATGTGCTCATGCACCTTATTTACATTCAGAAGCCCTACTGCATCCCTTACCAGCATAACAATCATTTGTATATTAGATTTAAACATCAGTAGAGAACTGGACTGAAACATTTCACCTCGTCTGACACTGACCTTCATGCGTTGACAGGAAGACAGGTCATATGAGGTGATCTGATCTATTTATGGGATGTACAATCACTGTGAAATACGGCCCGTTATGTAACGGACCCCAAACCACTGTCTCTTAGACACACGAAAACCTGGACAAACCAGAAAGGACTTTACATGTCAGTAGAATAATTAGGCACAAGCTATAATCAATTGTGTGTTCCTCTAGTCATTACAGACCTTGGCATTACAAACAAATCATTTAAAGCTTTGTGAAGGTAATTTTCTATGAAGGAAATTGAAAATCTACCATCAAATATACAGTATGTCGTTCAAGTGGATTCAATTATATAGAGGAGCGGGGTTAGTTGTCACAGGGCTTTTGAGTCACAAATCCAATCACACAAATATTGGTTTTCTCCAACAGTTGTTTTGTATGTTGGTTTCAAAATCTAGATAAAAAAAAAAACCTTGTTGGTTAAGAATAATTTTTGTAAAAAAAAAATTGTCTTGTAAACTACATTTCCACCATCATTGATGTAATTGTGTACATTTCATTGTATACATGTGGATAGTAGTTTTATTCAATTCATTAATTACAATATATTGGCTATAAAAATTGGTTGATATTTTTTGTTACTTCTGTCAGGACCACTATCGTCAAAGATGATTGACAAACTAACGCTACGCTAGATTTTTGTCATAACACATTTCATAATTTAATGTTTGATTTACTATTTGCCACTAAATAGCCAATAAATATTTTTTGCATGTTTTTATTTCCTGTTTTAATTTTTATTTGTTTGATGTATATATACTGTATATGTTATTAATTTCTTTATTTCAGTTTTAGTTATTTTAGTACATCAAGTTTAAATGAAAATGAGAAATGTTGCTTTTGCAACTATCTGAAATAAAGTAAGTTTTTTTAAGTAATGAATGCTTTTGGTTTTAGGTGTAGTTAACTATACTTGCACTGTACCAAATGAAATAAATGTTGACAAAATATATACAAAATCAATAAATATGTAAGATTCTGCTCTATTTACTCAAATAAGCCAATTAGTAATACTGATCATATTAACTCTGAAGTGCAAAATGCATGCTGGAAAACATAATTAATATGTGACCCTGGACCACAAAACCAGTCTTAAGTTGCACGGGGATATTTGTAACAATAGCCAAAAATGCATTGTATGGGTCAAAATTATAGATTTTTCTTTTATGCTAAAAATCATTAGAATATTAAGTACAGATCATGATCCATTTGTAAATTTCCTACCGTAAATATATCAAAACTTCATTTTTGATTAGTAATATGCATTGCTAAGGACTTCCTTTGGACAACTTTAAAGGCGATTTTCTCAATATTTTGATTTTTTTGCACCCTCAGATTCCAGATTTTCAAATAGTTGTATCTCGGCCAAATATTGTCCTATCCTAACAAACCATACATCAATGGAAAGCTTATTTATTCAGCTTTCAGATGATCAATACATCTCAATTTCGAAAAAATTGACACTTAAGACTGGTTTTGTGGTCCAGGGTCACATATATGAAATTCATGCCGGCTTGAGAGAATC